AAAAAAAAAGTCGTGAGCTCAACATACCTTTGGGATGGTACTCCACACTGGCAAATAAAGAGGACTTTTGGAACAATGCGAGGCTCAAGGCGTTGGGTAAGCCCTTTTGGACCCGTTCCAGCAAGCAAGGGCGCCCTAAGTGAAAACGGGACGGGTCTGATAAGTTACGAGAGGCCGATTTTTGTGTTTTCCGCAACTGGGGAAAATCAGACGGTTACGCAGCGTCAGTTGGATGAGTAAGCCCAGACCCTGCCTAACAACATCTGTTTCGGGCTTCCAGGCCCTGGAGGCAGGCCCTGGGCCAGACACGAGGCACAAACTGTACACAGCACGAGTGGCAGTTGGACACACGTAACTGCCAGAGGCCTTGCGGAGCATTCCCCTGGGACAGAGGCCCAGCCACTTGGGGCCTACCAGAAAGCTTCTGGGCAGAGGCCCAGACCAGCCAGGCAGCTCACGACTGGCTGCCTCTTTCCATAAAGGAAAGGGCCTGACCACTGGCCGGGGATTCGGGCACTCGCTGCTTTTGGCACAAGCGCTGCTGCGTTAGCTTCTCACGCGAGTCGCCCACGTGCTCACGGGCGAGCAAGGGGGATTGGCAGGCAGCCATATCCGGGCTAGCCTGCCTGTACCTGGACGATGCGCATGGTGGTCTTCGGGTGCATATGGCATATGTGGGGGGGACCACCAGGGTTGTGAGTGAGACGCGGGACATACCTGGTGCTTGATGCAAACGGCATTGGCCGAGATCTGCTTGTACGTCGGAAAGCTGTTGATGTCACCGGCGGCACACGTAGATAGGCTAGATAGGATCTGCCAGTTGTAGTCTGCGCGCCGAGCGCCATTCAGGGGAACGACGTTGGTTCATTGGTGATGATGACAAGAGTACTTCAACATTGTCATTTGTGAGCTCTGCTGTGCTCTTATCTGGTGTATTTCGCGATGCAATTCTACCTTTCGGTTCGAGGTCACGACTATCTGGTTTCATATGTATGATGCGGCTTCGTTTCTGTATTTCAGTATCGGTCATTTTCCAACAATGAAACTGCAAGCAATGGGCCCCGCTCCACTACATAAGAACATAAATGTATCTGGAGCATGTAATGGTCCTGATGCATTTAAATGTTCGATCTGTGCTGATGTATCTGGTTCAAATCACAGTCCAGATAAATGTTGAGATGTCCAGTAGTGGACCGAGGCTCAATGGCTTGATCGTCATGTTATCTTTCTCCTTACACTTCTCTGTTGTCGTTTACTTTTTTCAGTTGACGTCTTATTCCTAACTTGTTCTTTTTCATTCTCATTTGCAATATGAATGGCACACGCATGGAGGGAACGGGTTGACCCCACTGACATGCGTCTCACCCCCCCCCCCACCCAATCCACTCCCCCCCCCCTTCTCAAAAAAAAAAAAAAAAAAAAAAAAAAAAAAAAACTCACCCCACAAAAAAAGGGTTCAAAAAAAATAATCCCCCCAAAAAAAGAAGCTGACCCAGAAAAATATATATATCGTCACAAACAGAACTGCCCGGTAAAACCGTAGGCAGAGAGAGAGAAGAGGACAACAAACGAGGGGCTGTGACAAACTGTT